GGAGAGGGCAGCGCGGGTGGCGGGAGCGCGCGAGGCGGCGTCCGGGAAAGGGCAGCCCCGCCGAGGTCGCGGGGCTCCGGGGAGGGGCCCGGGCCCCGCCGGTGCGGTGACGTCCGCGACAGGGGCGCACGGGCTTCTGTCGTGGATGGAAAGGGGAAGCGCGGGCTGCTGCCAGGAGAAAGTTGCTCCGCGGCGCCCGGGCGGTGCGCGCCTCGGCGCCCGGGTAGGGGAGCGCTCGCGCGTGGGGCGCCCCAGAAGCGCGTTTCTTTGTTTTATTAGGGAGGCGAGGAGAGGCGTCGTGGCTTCACCCCGGCTCCTTCTGCAGGTGGAGCAGGGTGGAGCTCTCGCGGGCCGTGCTTTCTTTGCTCCCTCACTGCCTCCGAGAGGGGGCTTTCGGCTTCGCCCCCCGGCACGCCGGCTGCAACTTCCCTGCGCGCCCCGGGGGAGCCGCGCGGAAAGGCTCTGCGCGCCCCGGCCGGCGGGCTCCGGGCACGGCGGGCCAGGAAGGCTGCTTGGCGCCATGAGGAGCGGCCACGAGGTTGGTGCTGCGAGCCGCCTCCCGGAGGCCCCTCCTCCATTTTGGTTTTGCATTTTCCCCTCTGGGTCTGGACCGCGTGGGCACGGAAGCCCAGACGCGGCCGGTGCTGGAAACTTCCTTACTGAAGGAAATTCATCCCATCCTAGGCTCCTGGCTTTAGGGCCTAGGAGTTTATGATCTGTTTGCTTATAAGGTGAAGCGCTTTTTTTTTTTTTTTAAATTGTAAGTTGTAACATGTGTTCTTTACTAGTAGTGCTAGTAATTCAAAGCGAAACCGGAATGCCAGTCCTTTCTGGGTGCCCCCTTGTTTCTAGAACGTAATCCTGTCGTCTGGGACTCATTTTTGTTCTTGGCTATATTCCCAGGAGTGATGCCTGGCATAGAATTGAAGTCCCCAAGTCAACCTGAAGTCCAGTCCTCCTAGTGGAGGAAGACACAAACTTGCTGCTAGCTGACTGGAACACAGAAACAAAATGAGCCGGCTGCTATCTAAATAATTTAGTTATCAGAGGTGAAAACAGACCCGAAAAGGTGGAACAAACCTATTCTGCCTGTTCTCGCTCCCCCCCCCCCCCCACGAGTCCTCAGTTGATGAATGCTGGAAGCTGTGCTCCTCACCCGGGTACCAGGGGAGGAGTGGGAGACAGTTAGCTTGGAGAGAAGGGGAGGGGCTGTGGTCCTGCGGGGGTTGTAAAGCATGTTGTACGTTTTGGGCACATGGTAATGTTACTGCTTTAAGATTACTTTATCTGTTTTGTTATTTTAAAAAGCAGCGCTGCGACTTCCATAGTTTCATGTTGCATTCAGTTTGCTGTAATTTTATCTTGATTTTATTATTGCAGTGCCTAGTGTCAATTCCAAGGAACTGGGAATTAAAGCTAAGTGCTTTGTGGCTGCCCCCAGTACTTGGGATTGAACCCAGGGCCTTTCCTCTGATCTACATTCTCAGCCCTTTCTAAGTTTTAATTTTGACGCGAGGTCTCATTAAGTTCTGTTGCCCAGGTTGGGTTTGAATGTGGATCTTCCTCCCTCAGTCTTAGAGTGCTTGGGGTTACTGGGGAGGGTGAACACCCAGTTTTTTATTTTTATTTTTATTTTTTTTCCTTGTGTTTTAATGGCCAGCATCAGCAAACTGGGTCTCCTTTGGAAGTCTCAAACCTGAATGTGGTGGCTGGAAGCAAATCAAGTTGAACTCTGTGTGGCATGCAGGAAGACTTTAAAGAACCACCAAAGAATGACAGTTTTTGAGATAGAAGTGTAGACCTCTGGAGTCCAGTAGTCACTTAACTGTTTTTTACCTTGTTGAGAATGGAACCAAGGTCTGCACATGCAGTCTCTTTTTGTTTTATTTGAGGCAGGGTCTCCTTAGGTAGCTCAGGCTGGTCTTGAACTTGTGATCTTCTTGTCTCAACCTTGAGAATATTGGAATCATAGGCATGCATCACCACAGCCAGCTTAGATTATTAATAGGTGGCAGAAAATGAAGCCTTCAGGGCTGGCCAGATAGCTTAGTGGATTAAAGCACCTGCTTAGGCAGATGCAGGGACCAGAGTTTGATCCCTGGTATGCTGTGCAGGCTCGCCTCTGGGGCACGCTGAGATAACGGCACCAGCCTGTAATCCCAGCACTTGGGAGGCTGAAAACAGGAGGATCACAATGAGTCTGAGCGTGTAGTGAGATCCTGAGACCCTGTACTAAATACATTAAAAAAAAAAAGCCTTCAGTAATAACATTCCAGTCACGTGGTTGGTGGCAGAACTAGGACTAGATCTACTAGTGCCGCTTGGACCTAGCTTTGCATTGTCAACTTGAAAAGGAGCTGGAAATACAGATGGCTTTGTATGCACTGTCACCCTGCAGTGTAGGTTTCCACTGTTTCTTTCCTCCTTTATAAGAAAAAAATCGTTCTTTGTGGGGATAGGAGGGACTTTCCCTGTGCGGCTCTAATTTGCTTCAATGTTGTGGCAGTCAGAATACAAGTACTTTATCTCAGACTAAATTATTTTGGTCATAGAAGGAAGATACTGATAGCAACCGTATATCACTTTTTTCATTTGTTAGATGAAAGTGCATTAGAATTTAGGAGTAAATTTTGCTAAGTTGACATGGTGAGTCATTCAAAATTCTCTCCTAACACTGGTGGGTTGAGGAGGTTGTTCTAATCTTGGTAAAAGTCAGATTTTTGTATTTTCTCCTAAAGGACAGGTCTAGGGGTAATAAGATGAAACAAAACCCAAACAGTTTAAACTTACTTGCATGCGTGCATTGCCCTGAGTTTTTAAGTGATATTTCCTCTCCTGCACATTTTTGTTAATTCCTCAGTCTGACTGGTACACACAGCCCGCAGATCTTCTCTACTGTGCATTTGTAGTGGTCTACCTCTTCTCCTTTTGGAAACCTTGACCTCTGCATTGGGTGGAGTACAGCACAGGGCTGGTCCCTCGGCCTCCCGCCCCCCTCAAACATAGCCCCCCTCTGTACTTTCATATTCAGGCAAACACTGTATGACTTTTTTTTTTTTTTTTTTTTTGAGAGAAAGTTTTGCTATGTGGTTCAGGCCAGCCTTGAATTCACCTTCTAGCTCAGGCTAACCTTGATCCTCCAGCCTCATCCTCCCCAAGTACTGTCAGTAGGGGCATGTGCCACCACATGTGGCTCACAAAGATAGCTTTATGAACTGCTGTCACCAGTCCTTTTTTTGGTTCACGATCCTCTCAGGAATGGGCCATAGGACTTTTGAAGGGCTCGATGGTGTTAGTACTTTCTCCAGAGAGTTTAGTTAGCCATTTTCATCAGAATTATGTTTCTCTTTAGCTTCTGTAGGTTTACCTCAGCTTGCCTTGTCCTGTGCCTGCCTGCTGGCTGCTTCCTCTGTAATTTAGGTTCTGTGAGAGATACTGACATGTTAAATGTGTAGACTGAGGTGACATTGAGATAGAAGGAAATAGTCAAGGAAGTCTCTGTCCTGAGTGCTTTTACTGCTTATTGACTTTGTTTTCTTTGGGATTAATCCAGAGAGCATTGAGCTACATCACCAGACCTTTCTATTTTCTTCTGTCAGATAAGACCTTGCTAAATCACCCAGGCTGGCCTCCAACCTGTATTACTCCTGCCTCAGCCTCCCAAATAGTTGGGATTCCAGGCAGTTAGCACCACACTGCTTGCCCTGCTTTTCCTCATCAGGCTGTGATTTATCCTTAGAGAATTTGATTGTTTCTTCCCCTTTGAAATGGGCCAGGCAGCTGTTTTCCCAGTCGGTGAATGAGAAAGGTTGGAAGAGGTTAGAAGCGGTGCTTTTCACGTGGTAGAATCGGAAGTGGGCGGTGCAGTTTTCCCTTCTGTGCCTGCTCAAAACTTCTGCATGCGGCAACCACGCGCTGCGGGTATTCTTAGGGGAGAGTGGTCTGCACATGAGTAATACAGGACCGGAGAGGAAAGTGCTCCCTTCGGAGGTGGAGGTGCGGCTGTCTCCTCGCGCAGCCTGACCGTGACTCAGCATCTGCTTTTGGAGCATCTCGCAGTGCGCCCTGTGCCATGTCGCCTTGGTCTGCCCTGCCCTGTCCTTGGGACTCAGCAGCCACCGGTCTGGCCAGATGGCCTGCTCCAGACCCTCCCTCTACTGGGTGCCGGGGGACAGCTTTGCTGCTTGGGCTCATTTTTTTCTGAACAATGACTGGTAGTTTTAATTTTTTTGAGAAGCTGTTTACTATTTGGGGCTGAGTTAAATTCTTTTTTAAGTTTAATTTTTTTTTAAATTTTCCTCTCTTATTAGGTTTATTTATTTATTCTTTGAGGCAGGTTCTCACTGTGTAGTTCTGACTGATTGGCCTTGCCCTTGCTTGTGTAGCGCAGGCTGGTGCCCTGGCTGGTCCAAATTCAAGGCAGTCCTCCTGCCTCAACCTCCCAAGTGCAGGGATTACAGGTGTGTGCCACTGCTCCTGGCAGTATATGTTTTGCAATGCATAGTAAATACCTCAGTTGTGGGAAATTGGTGCATACTCATGGTGAGCCCTGGTCGTCCTCCTCCTCTCGCTTTCCTCCCTCCCCCATCCCTCCCCATTCCCAAATCTTCCCATCTGTCTTAGTTACTTTTCTC